CTTGGCTCAGCAATTCCAGGCAGAAAATGACAGATTGGTTTCAGCAGGTGTGGATACCAAAGCGGCGTCTATTTATACAGAGTCGCCTCTCCAAAACAGAGTCACAAGCTGTAATCTTCTGTCTGCCATACAGAGACTGCAGGTCCAGTGTTTACTAGGGAGCTAAGCTGGGTATATACACTGGTAGATTTTCGAGAGAAGATTTGTTTGAAAATTCAAAGAACATTCGACAGCTTGACACATGTAATTCGACATTTCATTTGATTTCATATGCGATCTTGGAATGACGGCCCGTTTACACCAGAAGGCGGTGCGGTTGACCCGTGTACTGTGCACGATTCCCGCACCGCTTTCAAAATGCACTGCACTTGTGTTCTGCAGGGGGTGACCCCAAACGCTTTGCGTTTGCCTGCAGAAGTACCATGCGATCCGGTTGCTGTGTATTTTATAAAGTAGTGCATGCACTACTTTTGGTGGGATAAGCCACAAAAAATCCCAACCACAGCACTACCTGCCTGGAGTTTGCATGTTCTCCCTGTGCCTGTGTGGGTTTCCTCCGGGAACTCCAATTTCCTCCCACACTCCAAAGACATGCTGGTAGGTTAATTGGCTCCTCTCTAAATTGTCCCTAGTATGTGTATGTATGGATGTGAGTTAGGGACCTTAGATTGTACGCCCCTTGAGGGTTAGGGACTGATGTGAATGTACAATATACACTATATTTCCAAAAGTATTGATCGGCCTGCCTTTACACACACATGAACTTTAATGGCCCCCAGTCTTAGTCCGTAGGGTTCAATATTGAGTTGGCCCCACCCTTTGCAGCTATAACAGCTTCAACTCTTCTGGGAAGGCCGTCCACAAGGTTTAGGAGGGTGTCTATGGGAAGGTTTGACCATTCTTCCAGAAGCACATTTGTGAGGTCAGGCACTGATGTCGGGGGAGGAGGCCTGGCTCACAGTCTCCACTCTAATTCATCCCAAAGATGTTCTATGGGGTTGTGGTCAGGACTCTGTGCAGGCCAGTCAAGTTTTTCCACCCCAAACTTACTCATCCATGTCTTTGTGGACCTTGCTTTGTGCACTGGTGCGCAGTCATGTTGGAACAGGAAGGGGCCATCCCCAAACTCTTCCCACAAAGTTGGGAGAAAGAAATTGTCCAAAAACACTTGGTATGCTGACGCCTTAATAATTCCCTTCACTGGAACTAGGGGGCCAAGTCCAACCCCTGAAAAACAACCCCACACTATAATCCCCCCTCCACCAAACTTTACACTTGACACAATGCAGTCAGGCAAGTACCGTTCTCCTGGTAACTGCCAAACCCAGACAAGTCCATCGGATTGGCAGACCAAGAAGCGTGATTGGTCATTCCAAAGAACACGTCTCCACTGCTCTAGAGTCCAGTGGCGGCGTGCTTTGCACCACTGCATCCGTTGCTTTGCATTTCACTTTGTGATGTAAGGCTCGGATGCAGCTGCTCGGCCATGGAAACCCATTCCATGAAGTTCTCTACACACTGTTGTTGTGCTAATCTGAAGGTCACACCAAGTTTGGAGGTCTTTAGCTATTGACTCTGCAGACAGTTGGTGACTTCTGCGCACTGTGTGCTTCAGCATGCGCTGACCCCGCTCTGTCATGTGACGTGGCCTACCACTTGATGGCTGAGTTGCTGTTGTTCCCAGTTACTTCCACTTTGTTATAATCCCACTAACAGTTGACCGTGGAATATTTAGTAGCCAGGAAATGTCACGGATGGACTTATTGCACAGGTGACCACCTATCACGGGACCACGCTTGGAGTCACTGAGCTCCTGAGAGCGACCCATTCTTTCACCAATGTTTGTAGAAGCAGTCTGCATGCCGAGGTGATGATTTTATACACCTGTGGCCATGGAGGCGATTGGATCACCTGAATCCAATGATTTGGAGGGCTGGCCCAATACTTCTGGCCATATAGTGTATATGGAACACGCTGTGTGAATTGATGGCGTTATATAACTACCTGTAATATATGAATCATTACAATCCATTCAGATGACTAGGATAAAATCACCCTGCACCTGGATCACATGTGAATCGCACAGGAACGCACCCCATTTTCCTGTGCGATTTATGGTGTGAACTGACCCTCAATGTCATTTCTTGAACAAAATCCACATTCCCTGTTCGAAAAACACTTGTTTTCCATTCTGCTTCTCTCAATTTTTTCGTCACTACAGTCAAAACAAAATGTCGATTTCACCCTACTAACGATTAGTTCATTGAATTAATTTTCTGTTAGAAAATCTACTACTGTATACCCAGCTTTAGTTCTCTTTAGAATGGGCAGTCGGGGGGGGGGGGGGGGGGTTTTGGTAAAAATGGGCAGCTGGGCTGCAGATTTACTGCCTCCCGGCCGCCCAACCCATCTATACGATAACAGCTGGATGGGGCTGTTCATATGCCACCGTCACAATGCTTTGCAGCCTCAGCATTTCTGATGCATGGTGCAGAGATTCAGTAGCGGTTGGGAGGTAAAGCGTAGGTTTTACTGCCCGCCCCCCCCCCCCCCAACCTCACATCATGTGAACAAGCCCTAAGACATTGTTTGCTTCTGCCTGCTTTTATGGGCTCTTCTCCAGTAGATAGATTCATCATCTGGGTGATGAATATTTTTTCGCCTTGGCCAATTTTTAGGAAGTTTATTGCCAGTGATGTAGGCGAGGTGGAGAGATAAATATTTTATCTCCTAGATTGTAAGCTCCCAGGATCAGGGCTCCCTAATCCCTCTTGTATTGTTGCTGTATTGTCTCCCTTATATTGTAAAGTGCTGAGCAAACTGTTGGCGCCATATAAATCCTGTATAATAATAATAATAATAATAATATATAAATCCTATATAATAATAATAATATATAATTCCTGTATAATAATAATAATAATAATATATAAATCCTGTATAATAATAATATATAAATCCTGTACTATAATAATAATAATAATATATAAATCTGTATTATAATAATAATAATAGTAATAATAATAAGAATATATAAATCCTGTATAATAATAATAATAATAATATATAAATCCTGTATAATAATATTAATATATAAATGCTGTATAATAATAATAATAATCTAAATCCTGTATTATAATAATAATAATAATCTAAATCCTGTATAATAATATTAATATATAAATGCTGTATAATAATAATATTTGAGGGGCACAAGACAAGGAGGCCTCTTCTCCAGTTACCTCCTCCTCAAGCCTGCTCTTACAGCAAACAATTTTTTCCCCTTTTGGTATAAACGTTTAACATAAATAAATAAAAGTTGATCATTGTAAGCACCACTACCAGTGCTGAATGGTTTGTCTCACCCCTATAACTGATACATCTGCAGGAGAGCTTGTTCTTTTGAAAAAAACAACAGACTTACTGGCTGGATCACAGGTGAAGATAGAAGAAAGCCCAAAAATGAAAACTAATGCAGCCACGACATCTAAGAACTGGTAAGCTGCAATAAACATGTTTGTGTTTGGGTTTAATAAATTTTTCAGTGCCGATTGGCCAACTGACTTGTTCCAAAGTGCGTTTCTTTACCCTTTTTTGTATTTTAGAACATGTATCTACTGTAGGTCTTGTTTTTATTTTGTTCCTAAATACAAAACAAAAATACTAGAATAAAAAAATTTAAAAAACAATTGTGTGTGTCCTTCCGTGACCCTGTGAGATACTCGGCGGTAGCGCGGTTGTGACATTTGTGTGCACTATCTAGGCCATGTGTGGCTTCGGTGACAGTCGGCACACACATGACCGTGGAGCGGAGAGCAGCCCATCCGTGTGATGTAGTAAATAACCATTCTTGAGGCGAAGAACGCCAGCCGAAGCCGTCAGGTGGAGGCGAGGACACGGACAGTTGCCATGGCGACCCTCCCCTGCTCGCTGTATCCAGGGAGGAAGGCTTCATCTTTTCTGCTCTCAGGGAATGGAGATAAATGGTGCGGCTCTACAGGCAGATCATTGGCGGGGAAATAGGTGATTTCAGGATAAGAGTAGATGGAGGGGGGGTTGGAGCGATAGGAAGTCAGTCACCATTAATGAAGTGCGCCGATCACACCGTCGATTGTCAGCGACTGAAGTTCCCTGTTCTTATCTATAGTACACAATCACCGAGCCTTTTATTCCTTCATATATATCCATCAGACAACCTACGTGGGCAAAATACAGAACGCGTACCGCGCTTTCTCCAGCCGTTCCATTAACAGGTCATGTTTTCCAGATCTTTCTCGGACTGTAGGGTTGACGTTTAGCCCTCATCCACACGGGACGTTTTTACAGCGGCTGTTTTTGGCGTTTGACAGTTTTTTCTACAGCCAGTAAACTCCCCAGCATGTTATCCTACGTGTCCATCCCCGGCGTGTTATCCTACGTGTCCATCCCCGGCGTGTTATCCTACGTGTCCATCCCCGGCGTGTTATCCTACGTGTCCATCCCCGGCGTGTTATCCTACGTGTCCATCCCCGGCGTGTTATCCTACGTGTCCATCTCCAGCATGTTATCCTATGTGTCCATCCCCGGCATGTTATCCTATGTGTCCATCCTCGGCATGTTATCCTATGTGTCCATCCTCGGCATGTTATCCTATGTGTCCATCCTCGGCATGTTATCCTATGTGTCCATCCCCGGCATGTTATCCTATGTGTCCATCCCCGGCATGTTATCCTATGTGTCCATCCCCAACATGTTATCCTATGTGTCCATCCCCAGCATCTTATCCTATGTCTCCATCCCCAGCGTGTTATCCTATGTGTCCATCCCCGGCATCTTATCCTATGTGTCCATCCCCGGCATGTTATCCTATGTGTCCATCCCCGGCATCTTATCCTACGTGTCCATCCCTGGCATGTTATCCTATGTGTCCATCCCCAGCATCTTATCCTATGTGTCCATCCCCGGCATCTTATCCTATGTGTCCATCCCCAGCATCTTATCCTATGTGTCCATCCCCGGCATGTTATCCTATGTGTCCATCCCCAGCATCTTATCCTATGTGTCCATCCCCGGCATGTTATCCTATGTGTCCATCCCCGGCATGTTATCCTATGTGTCCATCCCCAGCATCTTATCCTATGTGTCCATCCCCAGCATGTTATCCTATGTGTCCATCCCCGGCATGTTATCCTATGTGTCCATCCCCAGCATCTTATCCTATGTGTCCATCCCCGGCATGTTATCCTATGTGTCCATCCCCGGCATGTTATCCTATGTGTCCATCCCCAGCATCTTATCCTATGTGTCCATCCCCAGCATGTTATCCTATGTGTCCATCCCCGGCATCTTATCCTATGTGTCCATCCCCGGCATCTTATCCTATGTGTCCATGCACACAGATTGGAATCAATGTTTTTTGGCTTAAAACAAAACTCAGGACTAGTGGGTTTTCAGAGGAGTTTTTTTATATATAAAAATGTTCTAACACTGAAAAAACGCAAAAATAGCAGAAATACTGCTACAGGGCGACACGGGTGTGCAAAATCATATATATATACATACATACACACACGTGTATTTTGGCAGTTCCGCCATTCACGGCCTCGGCTGTCAATCACCGGGTCCCAGCCGGTGATTACTCGTTGACACCCGGTGATCGCTGGGTATCACTGACGGGGGAGAGACCTGTATGTAAACAACACACATGTAAACCTGTCAGCTCCTGCACACTCTTTTGTATGGCTCTGCAATGAACAAACATTTTTGCCCTCCTGAGGATTCAGCCCCCCTTCCTGACCAGGCCATTTTTTGTGATATGACACTGCGTTACTTTAACAATTGCGCAGGCATGCAAAGCTGCACCCAAATAAAATTTATGCTCTTTTTTTTCCCACAAATAGAGCTTTCTTTCAGTGGTATTTGATCGCCTGTGCGTTTTTTGTATTTTTTGCGCTATAAAACTAAAAAAAAAATTAAAAAATAATAGAAGAATTTTGAAAAAAAAACAAACTATATTTTTGACTTTTCGCTATTAAACATGTCCAGTGAAAAAATTAAAAAAAAAAAAAAAAAATCTAATTTCGTCATAAATTTAGGGCAAAATGTATTCTGCTCCATGTCTTTGCTAAAAAAAATCCCAATACGTGTAAATTAATTGGTTTACGTGAAAGTTATAGCGTTTAAAAAAAAATCCCAGTATATATACCGCCATTTGTAAATTTTACTAGTAATGGCAGCGATCAGCGATTTATAGCGGGACTGCGATGGGCAGTCTGCAACTGGGGGGGGGGGGGGGGGGGGGGGAGGACTGATTTGGTGTCACTGACATCCCTAGTGACACCAGTACAGTGTTCAGTGCTAATAAAAAGCACTGACACTGTACCAATGGCACTGGGCAGGAAGGGGTTAACACCGGGGGCAATCAGACGGTTAACTGTGTGCTGTGTGTTTGTGCATCTCTGTAAGCACACTGCTTTGGATGGTTGTGCTGTGCCGGCCATGCAAAGCAGTGTGCATGAACTGACAGGGAGGAGAACTGTTTTGTTTACTAACAGTTCTCCCCCCCTTCCCTGTTGGAGATGCTCGGCAATCACCTGGCGTCGGCAAGTAATCACCAGCCGGGACCCGGTGATCAACAGCTGTGGCTGCGAATGGCACGCGCCCCCTACCCAGAAAAGCAAAAATGTCTATATACACACACACATGATTTTGCGCACCTCTGCAGCCCTGTAGCAGTATATCTGCTATAGGGTGAACAGAAAGCAGTTAAATACAACCTTTACATTTTATTAACCAGTTCCGTGCAACCCTATAGCAATAATACTGCTACAGGACGGCACGAGTGCGCAAAATCACACATATATATATATATATATATATATATATACACACACATATACACATATACACACATATACACACACACACACGTTTTTGCAGTTCCACCATTTGTGGCCTCGGCTGGCAATCACCAGGTCCCAGCCAGTGATTACCCACCGGCACCGGCACCCTCCGATGGGGGACCTGTATGTAAACAGCACAGATCGCTCCCCTGTAAGCTCCTGCACACTGCTTTGTATGGCTCCGCAATGAACAAACATTTTTTAAAAACAGTATAAAATATTAAATCAACAAAAAAAAAGTGCTAAATGTATTTTATTTTGCAAAAATAAGCGCCATAAGATGCCACCAGCACCAATATTAAAAGGCAAAATATATATTAACCAAGTATAAATTAACTGTATTAACTAATCACACAGAGAAAAAAAAAAAAAAAAGACAGTTACAAAACTCTACAGTGATCAGCAACCGCCAGCAGGCTTGCAGTAAGGGACTGAGTCTGAGAGGAACACTGGAAGGAGTGACAGCTCAGCTACTACACTGGCACCAGATACCCAGCATCTTCCTCTGTCCTTTCTTCCTTCCCTTCTGCCACCTCTCCCCTCAGCTGAAGCATCATTCATGACGTGGTGGCGTCCCACACAATCAATCACCATCCACTCCCCTCACCCCGACTATTGTCCACCCCCCTCCTCCTCCTGTCACCTCCTAGGCTTGGCTCACCTCTGATGGCTCCTGCTGGGGTGCAGAGTCGAAACAATCATGCAGAGTAAAGATAAAATCATTCCCTGTGTATGAGGAGAGGGGGACTCTCAGAGAAATGAATGAACAATTCATACAAGAGGACCATAGGCCACACAGAGAGAGTGCCGGCATTTGCTGCACCCAGGCGCCCCTAGGTGGCAGTGCACCCTGCCTAGGTTGCCTAGTGGAAGCACCGGCCTTGAGTGTAGGATCTCTGCAGAGAGACCACTGCTTACACACAGAGAGCAAGGGTCCTTCTCTGCAGCATGCTGGCAGGGGACAGACCTGTCTACTCAGGCTGTGGCTGCTTTCCTAAGAAAACAAAAGCAGCCACAGCCCGAGTAGACAGGTCTGTCCCCTGCCAGCATGCTGCAGAGAAGGACCCTTGCTCTCTGTGTGTAAGCAGTGGTCTCTCTGCAGAGATCCTACACTCAAGGCCGATGCTTCCACTAGGCAAACTAGGCAGGGTGCACTGCCACCTAGCGGCGCCTGGGTGCAGCAAAGGCTTTGCACGCACATTGGATGTATTTAGATGATTGAAACTGAAAGTTCGATCACTAATATCTCATAGGAGTCATTTCTAAAGTTCTTTTTCAATATTTGTTAGCGTTTATAATAATACACGGTGATCTCTTGCAGGCACTCTCTGTTATAGGATGACCGTGCTCTGGGCTCTCCTACATTGCACCCCCATCAGACTACAAGCAGTATTGGCAATGTCCCATCTATGGGTGTCACCATCCGGAAACTTGAGAAATGATGTTCAGCAGTTGCCGGAGTGCATGTAGACAGGAAGTGGCTGCAAAAGGGACTGCAGGAGATCAGCAGTGCAAACAGAAAAATAAAAAAAAAAAAAGAGGGAAACAGAATTTTGTTAAACACAAAGTTAGTTGTTTTGATACATGGCAAAGAAAACGGAGATGTCACTTGATCTGCGGAGAGTCTCGTGACTCCTCTAAGCAACCTCCGTTGTGTACATTTAAAAGAAAAAAGTAAAGATTTGAAAGAAAAAAAAAAAAAAAAAAAAAAACACAAAACAAAAAAAACCTGTAGATTTGAATTCCCTAGGTCACTGTGGTCACCGCATAATGCAGCGTTCTGTGGATGCTGAAACTCCCCCGCATATTTCCTATTTCTAATGCAATGTTTATATAGCTGCAGTCTCTCAAGGACGGCGAGGAGAGGGTGATGGCGAGGGGAGGGTGAGCTGAGCGCACGTTGGAGAGCAAGGTGTCCCGGCTTGCCTGGTACCCTGCCAGACTTTTAATGAGGGGAGGAGAGTCGGCCTCAGAAGACGTGGTAGAACCTCAATGCAGATTGCAAAACATCATTATTCTAATTCTCCTCAATCCCTGGTGGGATGCAAACACATGGAGTAAGACAAGGCCGGGAAAACACCACGAAAGGCCGACGTGTCATCCCTGGGAAAATAGTATGTAAGGAAATCAAAGAGAGCCGGGCATCAGACCAATTCAACAAAAATCTTCCAACAAGCCTGTATGTGCGGTCGCTGTATTTATAGATGCTTGTTATTGGACTTCCTTGTGCAGACATCCAAAGGCCCCGAGACTGCTGCTGGCCACGGCCTTCTTGGATGGGAGGTCACCACACCCAACAGACTCAAGTGATACTCTGTAGCAGGGGTCTCCAAATGTTCTAAACAAAGGGCCAGTTTACTGTCCTTCAAACTTCAGGAGGGTCAGATGGAGTAGAAAAAGTCTTGGTGTCAGTGGTAAACAGTGTGCCCCTGGTTGGCGTCAGCCGGGAGGAGTAGCGCAGCCGTCGCTGGCGTCAGCCGGGAGGGCTAGCGCGGCCCGTCGCTGGCGTCAGCCGGGAGGGCTAGCGCGGCCCGTCGCTGGCGTCAGCCGGGAGGGCTAGCGCGGCCCGTCGCTGGCGTCAGCCGGGAGGGCTAGCGCGGCCCGTCGCTGGCGTCAGCCGGGAGGGCTAGCGCGGCCCGTCGCTGGCGTCAGCCGGGAGGGCTAGCGCGGCCCGTCGCTGGCGTCAGCCGGGAGGGCTAGCGCGGCCCGTCGCTGGCGTCAGCCGGGAGGGCTAGCGCGGCCCGTCGCTGGCGTCAGCCGGGAGGGCTAGCGCGGCCCGTCGCTGGCGTCAGCCGGGAGGGCTAGCGCGGCCCGTCGCTGGCGTCAGCCGGGAGGAGTAGTGCCCCATCGTTGATGTTAGTTCGAGGAATAGTGCCCCATTGTAGGTGTCAGGGGCAACAACTATACTCCACCATTGCTGACAGTAGGGGGAATAATGGCTTAAGGGCCAGATAAAAGCAAGCAAAGGGCTGCATCCGGCCCCCGGGCCGTAGTTTGGATACCACTGCTCTATAGTATTCCCCTTCACTCTTACCCTTGGTAATGCAGGGAGGAGAGGGGCAGGGGAGCTGGGCCAACACAGACAGTAATAAGACACTCTTAGAAGAGTAGGCTATGACATACATGGAAGGATTGGACTATACAAAGGCATCGACTCTTCCTAGAGTGGTCAAATTTTCTAGCAAGTTCAGCGGTACATTGCAAATGAATGAAAAAATTATTTGTGGGAAAGAAAAATGTTACAAGAACACACCAAACTGCAGTGCAGAAGGGAGGTTTTTAGACACGTGTCTAAGGCTCCAATCACGCTAGGTTTTTTCAAATCGCAGATGGAATCGCCACAATTCTGCCCACAATTTGAAAACATGGTGTAAAAGTGTGAAAATGCGCAATTGCAGTTTCAAGTGCCATTCATTTCGATAGTACCTGAAACTGCATGACGT